GACAGCTAGAGAACCTAAATGAAACAATACTTAACAGTCCCTTCAGCTGCCCTGAAAATCTTAGTTTAACAAAACCTGCATGTCTATAGTTTATATGATGCATAACTTTACACCAGCAGTTCTCATTAAGTACCTTGCTACAGAGCTCTCTGAGAATAAAACAGCAGCTTTGTACTAAACTCTCCCAAGAAGCAATGGGAAGTTGTCCTAGAAAACAGGCAGATCTTTCAGGGCCTGTGGAGGTACCTTGAAAAATGAGTTTTAAGTTTTCAAAGCTGATGTATAACAAATCTAAAATGACTGGCACTATAGAGCAAGAAAGCAGCCACAGCCTCTACAAACTAGTTTTCAAGCTGTACCCCCTGGCTATCTCTGCATAAAGTGCTCTGAGAGAAAGAAATCTTATTTGCAAAGTATTGTTATACAGTTGTACGAGGCTCTCCAGCTGTTTTAGGGTTATTTTGTTGTGGAATACCACAGATATGAGGTAGTTTCATATACAATATAGAAACAACAAAGGCATGAAACAGTGGCAGCATTACATGGAGAGAGCCCTAGCTTTTCAAAGAAACAGAAGGAAAACACCACTTCTCACAGCAAACTGTTTTAGTGGCTTGCAAGAGCCAGGTGCAAAGGATATTCCGGGACACCTGAAAAACAGACAAAGGCTCATTATCTGCTTTAGGTATTTGCCAGTACTTACATGTAATCCCTGAGAACATGTTGTTCTGATTTGTTAAGTGCTTCAGTACACTGTTCCATTCTACTTCAATGTGACTCATACACATTTTGTCACCACATTTAAGGCCAAAGCATAGAGACAGTAGAAAAGCCCAACACTTAGAAAAACTATTGTTAAAATGAATGAAACAATACACTTTTTTTCCAGTTTTTATCTCTGAAAGGAATCTTGCTTTTTTTGCTGACACATTAGAAAAATGAAAAATCCAACCATGAGAAATAAGCCCAGCATAATTGTTTTCAGTCAAAATTATTAAAAAATTTAGGAGTCATGAGTTGAAAGCAGTCCTACAGTGGGAAATGTATTAGACAACAGGTGGCGTAAGCAATTCCAGTAGCTAAAATAACACAGACATTATGGGCAGCGTGAGAAATTAACTGAGGGAGTTTGATTTTACAGGAGAACCATTTTCTCCCAGAAAATTCCTGTTCCATGACGGCAGGTAATGGAAAGAAAAAAAAAAAAAAATTGGCTCCAGTCCCTAAAATGTTTGTTTCTGTACTCAGTGGAACTGGAAAGGCTTACCATATGTGGTACATACAATGGATAAAGACAAAAGGATAAGTTGTTTATTGGGTAGTAAATCATTCAATGATGTGAGGGGTTTCCATGGAACCAGCTCCCATTTTCACAAATGAAGAGACCAGCCTGCTCTACATCAAGTGACAGAATTACAGGAAATGGCTTTTCAAATAATGGCACTTTCATGAAGGCTCATTTTGAGACATTTTAACTGGGACTCAGAGCTAAATTTAAAATGCTTTTCAAAAGAGTGTGGGTTTTTTTCCCACATTTTCCTGTACCATGCAAAAGCATACATTGCAAAAATCATCTTTTAGGGTAGTAAAATTAGCTTTTTGAAACCACCATTTATTTGACAAGTATCAATTTTGCTTTCTCAGTAGAATTTCAAAGAAACACACTATTTGAAGCATGTGGCATTAAATTTCCTGAATAGTATTAGTGGTAAGAAAGTTCAAATGATACAGTGAATAAAAAAAATGTAAACCCTATCAATTAAAAGGATTTTTAAATTTAATAAAACACCCTGGTCATTTATACAGCTAAGAATTCATGACGTGTTTAAGTTCACCGAGAATATGCTTTTCCTACTCAAGGTCATCCATTTCCAGGAATTAATAGCTAGTACAACCTAGCCAGATTACACTACACTGACAGGACATTATAGTGTCAGAAGAGGCAAGTTAAAGTCATGAGGCTGAACTCGCAGCAGTTGGGGCTCTTCTCAGTGTAAAAGCACTCACAGGCAAACAACTGCCCATCTGAGAAAACACGAGCACAGGCGTTTGGGGCACTGTGCCCTCCCAAAAGGAGTCATTCCTGCAGTATGGATGTTGCTGACTGCAGCGAGCAATCCACGCAACAGAAATTGTCACATAGAGCCAGCCGCCTCAGATTACACATGCTCCCTCATATCCCACAGTTGATAATTGAGAGCTGTGACCCTTCATACACTGGGTCAGCTCATTCCTGTGGTTTTCTTACTTTGCGAGCAGCAAAATTTCATTCTTATCTAGGCTAATGCTCAGACAGGCTCCATTCATCATTACCTCACCTCTGAGAAATGAAAGTGAAAAGGAGGACTGCAGAATCTGGGTTAGATGAAAACTAGATCTAAATCATACCAAGATCAGCACAAAACTCACCGTCTCCTCTGGCAGCTATACACACAGCCTGAACTGATCTCATGGGATTCTGAACTAAAGAATAACATTTGTTGGATAATGTAGCAAAAGACCCTCTTTTTAAAGGAAAAAAATAATTTGCTTGTGAAATGCTATGAGTTATGCAAGATTCCTATTGCAGAGGTGATGAAAATATTGAAAATAACAGTCCACCACTAAAAAAGATGCTACTATCCAAACCAAAGGTCAAGGTCAACACAAGACTGTTTCGCCAAATTTCTCAAAGGTCAAAATAAAAGGAAAAATTTAATACATAAATATATACATTCATCAAATTGAAGTAATAGCTATTCCAGAAATAGATTTGACAGAAGAGAAGGTCAAGCACGGTTTTCCCAGAAGTACAGTTTCTCAACTCAGCATTTTAATTTTAGCAGTTTGCAGCAGCAATGCTCTAATAGCTGGCACAAAATTAAGCACAACTTTAAGAGGTATAGTTATGAGTAAAATAAAATAATCCAAATTACTAAGACAAATTACATGACTGTGTGTAAGTAACAAAAAGAAAAAAAAAATACCACATTTACTCTCTATGCAAAGTGCTTCACATGCACAAAGTTTTGACATTTCAGTAACTGCCTGACTCGGGGGTGGAATTCAATAATAATTACATTTTGGATGACTGGGGTAGAGAGAAAAAATTTCAGGAACACACAGATTGACAGTAAACTTTTATTAACATATCTTACAATGTCGATTACTGTATTCCTAATTTTATACTCTTCTGATGTGTTATAAAGATTGATTTAGATTCTACAGTAATGTACTGTACTTATGATCATTCATACAGGATATCACACCAGAACATTTGAGTAATACACGCACACACCACTCTAGTTTGGACCTGTTATTTTCAAGGTTAGCTTAATAAAGTAGGACTAAAAAAAGTTATGGGGGAAATCAAAATTCTTGTTTAGCAGCATGCAAGGATATTCAAGTACAATTTTTCAACCAAGTTGATTTTTTTCTTGTTTTTAAATTGACTGGTGACTAATTCACCAGTAAATAAACACTATGAAATACCCAAATGTTAGAGTTAAGGCTAATAGTTTTACTTCACATCCATATGCACAACGAGAGAACATTCCATTTTAAATAAAACACATTAATCAAATTCTGGATACATTATCTCTTGTAAATATAGCACTGGAGCTTCAAACTACAGATTACTCAAGTTCATGAGCCCTGTAATAATGTTATGCTGGAGATGTAAAGAAACTTTTTGCTCTTTAATGACACTTACAAAATGGCCTGATATTCATAATGAGCAATGCAAAAATATTACAGGCAGAACTTATAATACAGTATCAAAAAATTAATATTTTGGAAAAGACATAGCCATTTAGTTGGTGAAACAGAGTAATTCTAATCTTACAGGAAGTACTGTAATACTTTTGAAATATATATATATATTTATATGTATATATATAAAAACCAGCATCCTTTATTGTGGGGTTTTTTTGAATTATGGGTATCCAGAAAAACTCATTGTATTTATTTACTTTTCCTTCTGTCCGTTCTCCTTGATTGCTACACAGTCATTTTATTTCCCCTATACACTTTTCACTATATAATGACTTCCACTGCGGAACTGTTTTCATTGTATATGTGGTTTTATCATAAGATGTTTTTATTTTACACATAGAAATTTTATTTTACACACAAGCTATGAAAGTCAAAACTACCAGGAACTGCTTGGTAGTACTGTATGAAATAGCCAACAAATGTCCAACACTTGTGAAAAACATTAGTAGCAATATATTACATACCAGCATTTTAACTATAATCTTTCCTACGTACTTACACTGTGGGGGTTTAGCCCAGTCATGCCTGTTCTCATGAAATTTTAGCCCTCTAAGCATAAACTGTTTTGGCATTCATCCGGTGAGGCTGCACATGCATTGGTTGTTCATCTAGGCTATCTCTGTTGATTTTTATTTTTTTTCCTTTTTAGGAAACCAAGCAGAAAGAACAGTGATTGCTCTAAACAAATACAATATAGAGGAAACTCCTGAAATGAAGGAAAGATGTAAGATTATATTTCATTTGTGGACTAGCCTGCTCATTTCCAATCCAATCATTCTGAAACATACATCTGGTTTGAAATGACAGGCAGGCTTATGGTTTTTATGCTTGTAACTGGGATTTGTTATGTTGGGTGCCATACAAATTCTCTATATACAGGCATTTCCGTATGTGTTATCACTAACAGTTTATTCAATTTGAGATGGAGAAAAAACCCAAAATTTCCTTTCTGGGGAAAAAAAAGAAAAAATATGTGTTCTGGATTACATTAGGAGCAATAAGATACCTAATTTACACCTATTTCACTTACTGATGGAGAAAAAAATATGAAATTCCTGAGAATGCATAAGTTTTTAGTAATGCCTGAAATATTTCAATAGACCTCTCATGATAAGTGAAATACTCTTTAAAATTCAACTTTCAGACCAATTGTTGTCATGCAGTCTCACAATTGTTTTACAAATTCTGTCTAATTACAAATGCATATCAAGCAAAAACCTCATACCAACACAAAAAAGGCAAAGAAATTTTATCCTACATATTTAGTAGTAGACATATACACTGTTTCAGCAAAAATTGCTAAAAACTCAACTCCATGCAGAAAGGAAAAAAAACCTGACAGCTACCCCTGGAGCCTCTAAACAACAGTAAGTAAAATTTGTGCTTATTAACAATAATGGGCTTTTAAAAACAAAAGAAAAATGGACTACTGAGTGCAATCAGATTGCTCACATCATTTTGAGGATTTAATTTCAAATTATTGTATCATTATTTAGTCACAACAGCAGATAATTTTGCAAAAAATTTCACATGTTCACGAAGTTCCATTTCCCTTTTATGCTCATACCCCACTCCACCCTGAGCCAAATAGCTGAACTCCCATTCAATTAAAGCTATTGTCAGTCAAGATGCATTCATTCATGGTAACAGCAATGGTGAGGTGTGTCGATGATGATGATTTACAAGCCATTATAATGTGGCCCCCATCTTTTATTGATATGATCAAAAGTATGAGACACCCACTGCTGCTCAAGCACTTTGTATCTTTCCTTGCATATGTAGAGAGGTTTACCACGCCTGTAGAAAGAAAAAAAAAAAAAAGGAAAAAAACCCTAATGATTAATATGCCAAATAAATGCAAAACTGCTTCATTATATAATCAACACACAACAGTAATACAACTTTTTTTCCCAGGGGACATACATTTGGTAAGGGGCTTTTGGTTTTGTTTTTAATAAGATAGCTGCTGGGACTTCCCTTCCTCCCTCTTGGATAGCAGAATCCAGAAAACATTTCTTGTTGTCTCAGGTGTGTGTAGTTTGGAAACTACACTCCTTCCCTACTCTGTAATCCAATGGCACTGTTTGATTAAAGGCCAAACAACAACTTTGTGAGAGAAGTGTTTCCCAATGCAACACAGAATTGAGTGTCATTGGGAATGGCAACATAGGAATCTGGCTGTTGGGTGCCTGCTGTATATAATGCAGTGATCATCATTACACCACCTTTGGGCCAAAAACCCAAACAAACCAGAAATGAAAAAAGAGTCAGTCCAACTTGCAGTAGATGTGGATTTTCTACTCAAGGAAGGTAGAGATCTATTATTATCTGTTATTACATGTATTGCATAACATAAAGTTGATCTACACAGAGAAGCAACAATGAAACATGCTTGTAATTAAAAGATTACCTAAGATCTCTGTCTTCTTCACCATGTGCATCTAGATAAACAGAACCCCAAAGGCAGAAACGATGGCCTCGTATGATAATGATTACAGATGCATTAATCAAAAGAAATATTCCTGTTCCAGCTCCACAGTTTTGAGAATGCTGTAATATTATGGGTGTAGAAAAGGAAGAGTGCAAAGATTCTGTTAGTGTCTGTGAACTTTATAACAAAAAGGATTTAAAAAATAGTACTTAGTTTTGCTTGAAATAACATACACACATTATTTACTAAGAAACAGTTTGACAAAGATTAGCCTGCCCCAAAACTCTCCAAGCAAACTGGAACTTCATGTCTTGTGCTGCCATAACACTTGCATATAAAAATGGTTCCCTGCTCAAAAAGGGAGGATATTTGTTATCATGTAAAAACAGAACTACCTAACAAAAATGAGCAAAAACATTCTCTACAATATTTTGTATTTGTTGTTGTATAGCAAACTGTATAGCATGACCAAATATTTTTCAGAGATGGCAAGAATAAGAGAAAGTATTCAGAAAAACATTACCTCTTTTACAGTAGTCTCTAATGTTAGGCATTTGCTTTCTCTAACTGTGCTCACAGATCTAGTCTATGGCTCTACAGATCTAATTTAAATTTTTTTTAGAAGTAATTCTTGCTTGTTTCAATATGTCATTCATCTCTATGAATTGCATGATCTGTATTAATCAACGCATTTTAGCAATTAAAAATGTGCTCTTCCTACATAGTTTTATTACAATTAGAGGCTATAATCGCATCAACTATATAAGATGTAACTAATTATATAGATTTTTAATTATCTTTTTATAACTTTCTGTTTTCATGAAGCTCGACACTTTAAATATAACTGTTAATTCTAGTTTAAATTTTGCCCACCCCTCTTTTTCCCATCATATTAGCCGTATGAGAGAGAAGAGCAAGTTCAAACAATTTCAAAAAGGTCCAAGATACCTCTGAAATTTCTTTGGATTTGATTTTATGCCCCATTTCTAAATACCTCCCCAACAAATTCCCCTCATAGTTTTGTAAAGCCCATGGAATTCCAGCCTTCTACTAACTGTTCTATGGTAGGAAACAGCATAGCTGTCCATGGAAACCTTTATCATAGACAGGAAAACAATGCTATATGCTGTCTGACTCAGGTTCCTGAAAGAACTTATATATATGCTGACTAGAAAACTTTGCTGCTGAATTAAAGTCAAAGGCCTTAAAATAATGATTATCTAGCTCTAGTCTGTAGATCACTAGTAGATGGTCAGGTATATCAGAAAGTACTCTATAAAATTGTAAAAAAACCCAAACCCATACCTTGATATTCTTATGTACACTTAAAGCAAGGAAATAAAACAAAAGAATATACGAACAATCAATTTATCAAAAAATACGAAGAATTTGTAGACAAATCTCAATTGGTTACGAATCAAAACCACGTGTCAACATTATGCACAATGACTTTGTTAGGGTTTTTCAAACAGGTGCAATAGGCTAGGGACTTAAAAAGTTGAAAAAAATTGCTGTCTAGAATCCAGTCTAGGTTCATCTATCAGAAGTAAGCACTAAACATTATATAAAAACGTTTTGGAAAGAAAAACATCAAAACCGAGCAATGGAGTTAATAACTATCTGCGAGTGTGAGAATCAATTACAAAATTTGAATTAACTCTCTCTTACCAGTACACATTCACAGTAACTCTGTTGTTTGCAGCATAGTCCTTTCAAGCATACAAAAGTACCGCAAACTAGACAAACGGCAGGATCTTTAGGAACCTTTGTACAAACAGTACAAGTCTTTCTGTGATAATACTGAAAAATGGTATTATAATTCTCAGGCAACTGAAGGAGGCGTGGCAAGTCCCACTTCGGCTCCTGGATAAGCAAAGCCTACAAATAACATAAGAACAATGTATCAGTTCTGCACATTCATTTACGCACTTACATTCTCTAAGAGAAGAGAATACCAAAGAAAGGAAGCATGCAGTTTAAAAATCCCTCACTTCTGCATTTAACAAATTTAGAAGTTAAAAGTCACCTTGCAATAGTCACCTGCCTCTCGCTGAACACCCTCCCCAACTGTGGTCACATTTAATCTTTTGTAACGGGTGCAAAATGGGCACTAGCCTTTTCCCAAGGATGTTTTCTAAATGTGACATTTTAAGCGCAAAAGTCTTCATAGCTAAAACAAGAGGATTAAGAATGATCTGCAGGGAAGACTTCCACCCACTACACTCAACACACTGCTGCCAGACTCTGGCAGAGACCATGAAAGCTGTCTCCTAGCTAAATTTAGACTAAAACTTTCAAACACAGAACTGAAGTTAGGTTCTGTAAATGATATTTGAAGACATCTGCCTGATTTTCAAATCTGTGCTGCACACAAATTTTGAGGCCATTAAGAATTTACCAGTACTCAAATTTTTTATAATGCAGGCACTACCTAAATACTGGCTTCAAAGCCTGACTCTTCTCTTTTGCTCTTAAAAACACTGCCCAATTTTATGAGTTTTTGGGGTGTTTTGTTTTTTTTTTTTTAAAAGCCAGTAATGGGTTTTCCTTCAACCTACTCATTTTTCTGAGTTTATAACTGATGGGCATAGGAGTCAGATGGGATCCTTCTTGCAAGGTATAAAGTGTTTTGAAGAGTGTATGACCTCAAAACCTAAACTTGAAAAAACAAACAAATGAACTTAAAGAAAAAAAAAAGAAAAATTGCATTTGTACCCGGTTCCTTTTCAGTCATGGAAAGAACGCTATCAGTTTCACTGCAGTCTCTCTCAAATGGCTATCAGATTGGTTGCAACTGTACTTTGAGATTACTCTGAGTATTCAAACTGTCATCCACAATAGCCTAATTCATGCCTGCAAACATACAAAGGCAGCTGCAGATCATGTTGCACAGTGAAGAATGCATCTGGCTTGCCTCACACCATAAACTTAGGAGAGGGGGACCTGAATTGTTGACATGCAGCTTCTTCATAAAAACAATGCAAATAATGTTGAAACATTTCCATTTCACAACTGATACTCCAACTGCACTGATGCAAGTCTTGATACTGTTTCTTTAACCTTCAGAGAAGATGTACCATCTTTTTTCAGTCCACGAGTAATCAGCTTTTATCCTTTTGATCTTTTTCAGTATTGCAACTGAAGATGCTCAAAAATATCAATAATGTCTAACAGACAAGAAAAACTTCTGATAAGTATTTTCTTAAAAGACACAGTTTCTGTTACATACCCTTGATAGGATTCATGTGCAGAAGATATGGGTACACTTAGTATCATGTAAGGATAGTGTTTCTATTTTCTGTCTCCCGCAATCATATGAAAACCAGATAGGTTTTCTTATTCCTGTTTTTAACCAATCCAACCCACATCCACTAACTAGTATTTCTGATTACAGTTTCTCTCTCATTTACAAGCCAGGTTCTCAGTGTATACAACAGTGTATTTGCCTAGTGAATCAAGCAATAAATAGCTGCTTCAACATCGGAACTATTTTGGAAGAAGTAATATTGCTACATACCTTTACTGGATCTGGATGTCTATCTGCAAATGAAGCCAATTCTGAGCACCACTGTGATATCATGTCAAATGCTGGCACTGGCCAATCAAGACAAGAGGCACTGGTGAAGTGATGAGCTGACTGAAAAGATGGTAGTAGACCCAGGCAGCTTGCAAGAACTGTGAATTCTTCATCTTCCTTTTAGGTATGACACCAGAGAAGTTTATATTAATACCTACACTCTGAATTTTTAAATAGTTCATTAAAAATATATCTATTGCAATGAAAACAGTAAAGATGTTCTAGTACAATGATGCTAATAGTCACGTTCAGAGATACAGAAAAGCTTCCATTCTTTTCCAGATTAACTCAAACTGGATTCTCAAAATACAGGAAAACTGGTCAGAATAAAAAAACCAAACCCAAACAAAAAAACAAAACCCCGAGCCCCCACAAATCTAAAAAACACAAACCAAAAAAAGACAATCCCAAACTCCGCAATAATTTTCTTCCTGTTTAGCACCCCAAACTGGCTTGTAACTGTTTTAGAGATGAGATGATTTTGAGGCAAGGAAATGAGGGAGTTGACCTGCAGCAAACTCTACTTAGATCAATCATGATTTAGTAATGAACTTAACTAATTAACGAACGTAAATAATTGTCCGCTGATGCAATGCCTCTGAGAATAAAGTCCAAGTATTAACAGGCATTAAGAAAAATCAGGACTGAATTCCAGTCTGTGTGGAAATTATGCCATCTCTGCAAATGCCAGACAAGTTTTAAAACTATGTTGGTATTTTATGAGACAGGCACCTAGGACCTAATAAAATAAGCATATGTTTGCTGAATTTTAACAATATAGTGCCATTTTTCAGGGAAACTGCCTTGAAAACAAATTTATGGTAGAGAAACAATGCCGTAGAGAAATGCTGTAAAATATGATTAAAATAAAATCTTAGGATAGAAAATACATACCATGAAACAGACACCTTAAAAGTCTTATTTTTGATCTCTACCTTTTAAATGGAAACATTTGAGTGTGCTCCTCTCAATCTGTACCTGGCAACTAGGTAAATCCCCTCCAAAAAGGTGGTGTTGAAGAAGGCTTGTGATCCTGAGGAAAGGCAGGCAGAACTGCTGCAGATAGCACTCTACAGAATCAGGATTCACCTACAGGGGAAGGAAGCAACTACTAAATTCTGCCCCAGATAAATTGTCTCCTATGTAAGAAACCTCAGTATGAACCACACGTTTTTTAAACATACTATATAAACTACTGCATCAAACACATATCCTAAAGGCCGCCATTTCACTAATAATCTGAAAGAACTCTGTGGGTTTTCTTTCCCCCTTGACAAATGTTTTTTGTACTTAAATATTCAGTTTTCCAAGTTTCTGAAAGGTCTTTCAGACATACGATTAAAAACCACAATTATAAGAAGTATTTGTCAATAACTTTCTCAACACAGCGCTGGCCATATATGTTAGTAAAAGAAAGATTTGCACAGGCAAACTGTCCCAAAGGGATGTGCTTTGATCTAGAAGATAGAGAGTTGTACTGCCGTCTTCAGCAAGATCAGAGAAAAATCATTATAACAACAAGGCAGAAAAACTTAAATAAGAGACAGAAAGGGGACATGCTGGATAAATTCTCAAGAGATTTCCCAATACCACTGTTAATTCTTCAGTCTCTCCTTCTTCATATATCTTCCCCTTAGACAGCTCACTAATCACATGACCCAGCAATACTTCCCAAGATTTTTCTCCACTGGATGTGTTCTGCAAATAAGAAGGAAAGAAATCCAAAATGCACTGGTTATGAAAAGGAGAAAAAGTTCTTGTAAAAGTAACATCGATGAAGTACATTTCCTTTTGATCAACACATGAATTTTGACCTAAAAAGATACACATAGTTTTTAAAAAAAAAATTGTACAGAAAGGGAATGCATTTAGCTCACAGTGTGAAATATGAATTGCTACTTCAGTGTGTTATAAGAAATCACTTTTATAATGTTGCATTTCCCATGTTTTTTGTGTGAGTATAAAAATACTTATGTTAAAATTAGGAAGAATCACTTCACGGATATATTGTTTTGACAGAATTTGAATTCTAATACAACTAATTAGAAAAAAAAAAAATCTAAAATGTACTGACCAGAATGAATTACAAACCACTTGCTATCTATTTTAAGTTGAAATGAGTCTATCAGAAAATGGAAAGTTGTGTTTGGAATGAACAATATCTACTACAGATGGGAAAAAATATATAGTGGAAAGAATAAATTAGCCACTTATCCTCGTGCCAGAGCATTTACGTTTAAAGACAACAATTACAGAAAACCATCGAAATAGAAAGCAGTATTCCCATAAATATTTTTCTTCTAAGTCATAATAAATTCTACCCAAGAAAAACATGATTGGACGTGAATTTTGAGCTCTCTCAGCATATCATCAATGTAACAAACAATGAGGGAGTGGAATGTTACTGGGATTCTTAAAAAAAATTCCAAAGCAACTAGGTGAGATTAAGCATGTAAACACTTTGGCACATAACAATGTATAGAAGTCATCAGTTGGCTGCTTTTGTGACTTTTGACATCAATTATAATTGTTAATTTTAGATGAGGTCTTCACCTTTCAGCATTGGGAAGGCAGACTTGCTGTTTATGCTCATAGTCTAAGAACCAGAAGGCAACATATACTTAAAATGGCAGTTAGGACAGACTTTTCATCTACATTATTCCTGGAAGTTTAGTCCATTTACAGCATGCTGCTTAGATACCAAAAGGCACCTTGCAAAGGCAATGAGAGTGAAGTTGGGAATCAAAAGTAGAATATCCACCTCTCAGCCCTGCTGAGAAATTAAACTCTTAATGTTGTTTGATTATGTGTCATGGATATAGAGGGAAGACTTCAGCTTGTGTTTAATGTCTGGAATACCAAACTGAAATAGATTCACTTGGCCTTACCCACAGACAAAAGTTAAGCAAGTGTGATCTGTGTAGTCATCCTGGGATCAAAATGTCAGTTTTGTCAGCACATAAGAAAAAGCCAGCCTGAACCATACTTTAAAACCATTTGGGCCTCCAGAAACTCTAAAGAATGAACGTGGATTCCTAAACTAAAACTTCCCTCTTGACATGCAAAGAGAAAGAATTCGTCTGAGGACTATGGCTAAGCTCAAGAAAAGAAGGGCTGCCAAAGGGCTGGAAGAGAGGAACAGGGAGCTGTGTGATTACCAGGTGGCTGGTCCTCAGTGCTCAGAAGCCTCTTGCACACACATATGGTCCAGGCAGCAACATTATGCAGGAGGAGGAGCAGGAAACTGGAAAGACATCTGGGGAAGGGCAAACTTGCATGTGGGACTTTTGCAAAGCCTCTGGAGTTGAGGTGGACTATCACTGGGGTGGGATGGAAGCCAGGAAGGAAGTGTAGGAGTCCCTGAAGGCCGAGGATCATGCAGAGATCACCTTAAGCACACAGTACTAAGCTGCTGTCAGAACTTGGACCTTTGTACACAGATGATCCACATGAGACAGGCGAGGGAGGAGGAGGATGTTTTCAAGGGAGAGTGAGAGATGCTGTCAGTACAGTACATATGCAGCAGGAAGCAGTGTTCATATCTACCTCCTACCTCTTTTGCTTTCCCACTTGAAAACTGTCAGCCTTCAGTGGGCTTCTTCAGTGGGAGAAAAGTCAAAATTCTCAAATTGACAAAAGTTAATCTGTTGTTTTTTGAATTACACTAAATCACAACATCCCTTCACAGTAACATGCTGTTTAATGTGCTACTATTTCTCACTTGGCCTTATCATCCCTCAAAGACAAGCAGACTTGTGAAAATTCCACTAAAATGGACTGTCTTTAATATCGAGGGAGATCGCTACTTCCTAAAGCCATTATCTGAGCCATTATCATAATTTGCAAGCCTCAAGTAGAAAGTGCCTTATGTGAAGCAAGTGCTTTCACATGCTGCTATAAGCAAACACCTTAGGTGTTTGGTAGCAAGCCCACCCACCACATGCCCTAAGTCTATTTTCATACAATAAAATCTCTCACTGTAGACAGAAAATTAAGCATTGTAAATATATGTTCAGATAAACTCCAACCTCTGCTACTAAGAAAAAGGCAGTCCATGTTTATCGTATGGACTATGAGAGAATATAAACTGGTAACACTTTAATCTGTTTATATGCTTTCTGCCACGCTCTTTAAACTGCAAATTCATCTATCACTGGGGAATCAAGTAAACAAAAAAATGGAAAAAACCCTCACCACCACCAATCTCAAGCAAATGTTCTTGAAATTCTAAGAAAAATACAATATATTGAAAGAAGGGGGTAGAGAAGGAGCTAACAAAATGTAGTACTGCCAGTGATCTCAAATGCTTAATGCAAGTCCAGAAAAAAGCATCCTGCATAGTAGCAGTTTGGCCAGCAGATAATTTGTCTTTACTAGCTTGGAGCTGTGATCTAACTTACATGTGAAAAGCAGTCCATGCTTCTCAGTGGGCATTTGGTTTTACAGCCAACATAATCTAAGGCCCAGCTGTTGTATAAAGGGGTATTCCTCTTGCCATTTCCTCTCCTGGCCCCAACGCTTCCATCCTTTCCCTTGGCCTGGCACTGGCACTGGCACTCTCCTGACCTTCTGTAAAATCAATCCGCTCAGCAGAAAATGAACTGAAGGATTAATGAATGCCACTGCAGGGAACTGTGTCTTTTGGTGGGAACTGGCATTCAATCAGCTCAACTAAAATAGAAAGATGCACCTTCACTTTACTTGTAAATACTATCAAAAGGCAAGGAAATGATAGTGAAATATCTACTGGCCTAGTCTACAAATGTCCTTCTTTGCCTCTTCATCACATAAGCACTCTGGACCACATACTGAGACACATTTATATGGCTAGCTACAAATAAGAAAAGGACAGCGCTTTTTCCCCCCACCAACAAGCTTGCCTGCTTTTCCTGTAAAGGAGTGCATCAGATCAACCAATTGTTTACCAAGGACAACTTCTATTTCACAGGAAGGAAAGCTGCATTCACTCAATACAACTGCAACAAACTCAAGACTGAAACTATAGAGACACAGACTCAAATCTGACACCCAGTTCTGGAACTAGATATTGTAAGTCTCATCATATACCAAAACTGCAAAAATTGCACACACAGAAATAAAACACTGGATTTTTGTAAAGCAGAAGCAAATTATTATATGCAAAGCTGAAGTACCTGTTACATTCCTCTCAGAAATACATAAGCAAAATTTCATAAATGTTTTAATAAATTAACCAACCTTTTTGAGAGCTCCTGACTCTTTCCATGCCATCCTATCTTCAGCACTGCATTTAACAGAAAGTGCTGCCAAGGCTTGAGTATACAATAAAGTGAACAGCACTTTAATAATGCAGGTGAAGTGTTCTGTAAAACAAAGAAAGTAATTTTTTAACACTTGATATTGTTAGCAAATGTACTGATTACAGAGTCTGTAGTTATGGAAATGATGCTTCTCAAATGAAAAGCAAGAGCTATACCAAATGAACCCTCCCAAAGCATACAAAACAGCATAAATATATTTACTGGCTTTCAGAAATGACTTGGCAGCTGTAGTGAACAGGATAAGTACAGGGCAAGTAATTTTCCACTGCTCCATATGTTCATCTTAGCCCTGATCAGGAGTGACTTCTTCTTAGGGGCCTGGTGATACCACGAAATTCTGTTTTGTCCAAATGTTACATCAAGTAAAGCTACCAATTACTGATGGCTACAACTAATTGGGTGTTGTAGATGTAAGCAAATGCATATCCTGCCATCTCTTCTGGCAATGATTAAACCATCTGGGGTGTTACATTCATACAAACACTGGAAAAGTTAAGTTCTCAAAGATATCACTGCAAGAAGGACATTTACCAGACTTCAGTTTCTACCCCTTCACTTCCAGGTATGGATCCAGCTGTACAAGACTTGCTGCAAATCACTCTTTAGTGAGTACCTATTTCCTGGACCTCATGTGAATACAGCAGCAGGACAAAGACAATGTCATTTTAGAACTTACCTTCTTTTGAAAGATCTTTATTTGTTTACAGTTTTTTGTAATATTTAAAGGATTATTATTGCCTACATAAAGGCTGCAGGAGAAAGGCTTTCAAATCTTTTTTGGAATAGAGGCAAATATAAGACTTCCTAAAATTGCAACAGGAAAAAAGGTGAATGTGATCATTCTCTGAAATAAAGATATGGTAGCAGTCCTTTTTTCTCTTTTTACTTCAGGTTGTATTTCCCATCCCAAATAACCTGATTTTTTTTAAATCTAGGCAGATCAAAGAAGTTTCTATCATCACTTACACCATTCCTTAAGCACAAACATTAATATATATCTAAAAAAATGTATACAAAAATGAGGGTTTTAAAAAGTCCTATCAGGCTTTGAAGTCAAGCAAAACAATTTTATTTACATAAGCACCTCACAAAAATTGGGTTAAATTCATTCTTTCTTCCCAAAGGATTTAAACAAGCTTTGTATGTGAAAATGAGAAGGAGGTAAGGGAGATGAAACCCCTTGCTTCTCCTTTCTTGTATCTAATATCAAAACCCACCACTGGGTTCTAAAACAAACACAGCAAGGACTTGAGTACATAATTGAATTTGTGAAATAACAATAGCTTTTTTATGTAACAAATGTTTACAAACCAACGCAGACATGGATTTTGAAATTTTTTTAATGTCACTGAGTATACAATAAGCACAACTTAAGCACCTAAATGATCATTTGTAACTATGTAATTAAAAGTGTACTTTTTTCATTATTATCTTCCTATGGAGCTTATGTTAAACATGACAATGAATGCTGCTATACTTCATCTCCCCATTCTAGAGCGGATAGTATTATGATTTTTCCTCTCCACATTTCCCCAGAAGGAGAATTCACTAGATCCAATTAAATCTCTAGGCCCTACTTTTTTCCTCTGCTGAAACCTCCATTTTCTCAGCAATCCTCCTCCTGACGAATAATAACAGGCAAGTTTCCAGTAAATTTTCAGGGACTGAGACCTACAAGATTAAACCACATGCACTCACAGAATTGTAAAAATTGCTTCTTCAGCCTGAGCTACAGTCTACAATCGTAGCTAGAACTGAAATCAAGTACTGAGCTCTGTCTTCATCAACAGCAGGTACAAGCAATAGAGATGAATTTTACACTGTGAAAGCCTGAATGAAAACCACTGCACTTAGAGCAGCAAAACAAGACTGCTGGTCAACATTCACCAATGCCATAGCCCACTTCATCTTCTAGTGCTTTCTTTTCTGCTGAGGTGATTACACAGTGCTCAACACCGGGTGTCTTAGCACCCTCTAGAACTATTACATTTTTAAAAATCAGTTTTTTATTAAATATAATTAATCCTTGTCCCTATCCCCACCTTAACACTAATTGTTCAATTCACCAGAAATATCTAGCATGTATTATGTTTTTTTCAATATATTAATGTTCTTATATTTACTTACATGCATGTGACTCAAATGACTACAAATTACATTTTTGGAGAAGCCAGAATTGGACAAAAAATGCACCCTCCCACATCTGGGTTGCTCTTAAGAAGTCCTGACTTCTGCACAAGCTTTTTCTTTTTTTTTCTTTTTTTTTCTTTTTTAAAGGAGAGTATCACAGGAGCCGCTCAGAGGCAGCATGCTGTGTAGTGAGCACCAAGGCTTTGAAAACAAGTATTTTATAGTCACAAAAACATCCTGTGGGAGACATAATAAAAGCACCAGTCAGAGGATCAATTATCGTTTCACTACTGTGTGTTATCTCTTATTTGTAAAATGCAAAATATTTGACAGCTGTAGTATCTATAATGCTGGAGCTGTTATGTTCTTGTTTACTGCAAAGAGCGATTTTATTTGCCTTTCTGCAACGTGTGCATGGCTGTGTGGTGTTTTCCTGCTGCCCCTCTGGTGGAGGCTGTGGTTTTGCTACATCGTCTTTTCGATTTAATAATTCTAAAGATTGCTAGTATATTTGTATGCTGTAGAGTAAATTATGGAAATGCTGTCAGTCCCTTCTGTTGCAGATGATATAGTGTGCAACGTTCTGCACTAAAATGCAGTTAGAACTTCTGTGTGTGTACATAAAAAACTTAATCTGATATTCTGACAGTCTAAAAGTTATATTATTATGGCTAGGCCATTATAATCAAAACAGAAGTTAATGCAGAATTTTTGTACTTATTTTTGAATAATATTAAGAAATGTTATTACACTCCTATTTTAAAAACTTTTTTAAACAAAACTTTCTGGAACCACATTACTTCACAGCATCCCATCCATTACATGCATTAAACAAACCCCCTTAAAAATAAAGTTTATACAGGAAACACTTCTAGAACTCTAATTTTAAAAATAGTGCAAGAAATGTGCAGATGAATAAGTGTATTACTAACAATATGCATCTTTTAATTTCAATATCAAATTAGATGATAGATGCTGGCAGGCAGTGACGGCAGAAAGAATCCACAAAGCAAACCAAATACAAAATTAAGGACCTAGGACCTTTAGTGAATTTGGAAGGGCATCTTTATATACCTAACCTTTAAAATATTCTTCTTGATCTAAAGCTTGAACAGTAACTTGAAAAAATGCCTTCAGAACAAAGGGAGACAGCACTGAACTTCAGATAATCCATGGAAGGTACATTGAAAGTTCCAGGATACAGATAAATATTTCAGATTCCACATTGAAATTGGATACTATTCAAGTTGATTACATTCATTCTATATTTAGTCAAGATCCTTATCCAATCATTAAGGAAAAGTGCTGGTGTTCGCCCGAGTGCTACTTGCTGCACTTTTGTTGCATGTCATTGAAACTTTATGGAAAAAGAATGTGTCAGAACATTCAGGTCAGGTTCTTCAGCATCTGGGCCTTACCGGAATTGCAAAAAACTGGGCTGAATTTAGGTGTTACACACCAGAGAAGAAAACCTTTCCCACAGTCCAGAAAGGTTGGGCTAAACTCTCAAATGCAAGTTGGAGCACATCCACCACTTCCAAATCACGGATCTCGTGAAAGCAGCACTGTGGCCTATGTCAGAGGAACGCCAGGCTGTGTAACAGCATGGTGGCAAACACCTGTCCTGCTGCATGGCACTCCTTGCATGTATGGCACCAAGCACAGTGCCAGGCCAGTTGACCACCAATTCTATGCACCTACTGGCCTCAGGCTCAGCTGTGCTCACCCAGACCCCAGTTTTTAAATCTTTGCAACAGTATTATATTTTTTACATTCAAAGCAAAGCAGAAGCTGAAAATCACTGGAAGTTATGAGCACTCTGCGCTTCCAGAAATCTGGCCACAGGGCTCCCAAGTCAGGTACTGAGAAAATAAAATTTTTTACAATTGATGGTAACAAAGAAGAATGGCCAATTTGAATTAAATGACTTGCTCAGAATACAAAAATTGTGTTGCAGAAAGGGGTGGTGGGCAGTGTTGAATCCAATTTACAAGGACAGATTTAAGTTTTGTTAACCACCGAGCCACTCTCTCCACTGCTGTAATACCTTTCTTCATATGCAACACCATTTTCTATTACTGTAAGAAAGGAGCCAGAGGTTCTAGAAACAACATCCTCATTTTCTACAGAGACCCAATTCACACCACCATGAACACTGTCCATCCTCTGCAACAGCTGAGAACTACAACAACACTGCAATCCAACATCCAACAACTGCCACGGAATTAAACTGGAAAAGCCTGGTTATGTATTTAGTCTTGCACAATTTCAAAACGCTGAGCATATGAAGCCATAAAAGCTCTGCCCATGTTCTAGTGTCAAACAAACAAACAAAATTCAGAAATGTTTTAGTATCGTGAACACAGTGTTTATTTTGCTGATTACACAACACATGAGGTACATATTATCTTTCTCATGCCCTTCTTTGTAAATTGGTAAGTGCTTGTTAATGCTCTGACCTCCACCACAAAGTTTCTCCTGTAAAAAACCCCAAGGATGTAATTTGGAGTGTTCTTTCTTTGTGATGTGTTCAAGTCAATTTTCCTCTCTGAATGAAGAGGCTGAACAGTAATGACGTTTTTATTGCTTTAATCAATGTTGGATTCAAAAAGATACCAATACCGATACCCATACCAACAGTTAATAGGGTAGTTAATGCAATTCCTAGTGCTTCATCTGAAGGGCAAGAGATGAAGCTTGGGTCCTTCTTACAGAGCACTCTTTTTTGAAAACACCGTGTAAACAAAAAGGATTTTGAGTAAAAACATGAAGATTTAATACTTGATGAACAGTTTTAGTTTCCTGTAAGGATACAAACATGGTTTCTCTGAATACATCAACATACCTAATAAATGATACTGCAAAACCAGTACCATTATAGGAGAGCATCTGTGCTAAAAGAAGAAGAAAATCCTTCATGGATTATGAACTCTACAGATTCTTCCTTCATTATAAGTGTTCTAACACCACTACCATGGCATTCTGCACCAGACTGCAAAACCACCTCTTCGGCAATGTAGTAAAGCATATTGTTAAAGGAATATACTGGAAGTATCAATCAGTGCACACAGGCATCAACCTTCTGTCTGCATACTGGTGTCCAGCCAAGCCCACAGCTCCTGCACCCCCCAGGAAAGGAAGCAGTAGGGTCAATGCAGGTTTGGTTCACCCCTGTCACTGGCCTGCCATGTGACCCTGCACAAGTCATTTTACCTTTTCGTGCCTCAGCTCTCTACCAAGGATTAATGACATCGAATTCAACCCTGTGACCTACACTCACATTGCAAAAATTCTAAACAAATTTGTTACTACCTATTTTTTCTGAACTGCGTTCTACACCTTACGACAAAGAAATCATGGTAGGCTTTCTTTTTATTCTGCCTAAGTATTTTGATGAAACAAAAATTAGAAATATAAATGGCAATCTATTTCCAGTTTACTATTTCATAGATTTGAAGTGGTTACATTCATCTTCTTCCTACTACTTGCCATTTCCCTTTCAACAGCAACATATACTAAACATAAGAGCAAAGGCAATATGTGCTGCTGATATGTGGTATTTTACAGATTTCTCCATAGGATGCCGTACTATTAACCAAATGTTGCCTTTCCTAGGATAAGATATACTTTCATAAATGGTGGTTTTCAATGCTTGACTATAAACTACAAAAAGACTGTTGTTCATACTTTGGTTTCATCACTCCCTTTCCTGTATTTCAGAAGATGTTAGTCTTGTTAAGCTTTTGTTTACTGCTTTTATTAAGTCCTTCCAAGAAAAGTTAATTTAAGTTAAACTGTAGTTTAAAAAAAAAGTGTATTTTTGACAATAGGATTCCTATTAAAAAACATTTTATTCTCCTCTTTTTTTCATATTCTAATAATTTACTGGACATACTTAAGCCATAAACATATACAATGAATCAAAAAAACCACAACGTTAACAGATACACACAGAGTCACCTGAGCTGAATTTGAACCTTCAGTAGTGAGGACTGAACACCTCAAGTGGAAACAGAGTTTCTACTATTCTTTGTAAGTTAGGTGTACGCATGAAGAGTGGAACAGTCCCTGTATTTAACTATTCACAAATTACCAAAGCCCAGTAAGTATCAAAATTGCCACACAGACCCCAAAGCAGATACTCTGTTCATTGTGAAGTAGTAGAAAGATACTTGTTTGTTTGTTCTCATTTTAAAATAAAGGTATAGCTATAAATGATCAAGCCAGAGACCAGAGAGTCTGAACTACTCATCTTCTGGAGCATACACTGTCTATTAGCAAGGTGGATCAGGCTCAGCTGTTCCTCTTATACAGGAAAAGAAATTCAGGTTTTAAAACAGTTTTGATTTTAGTAATGAAAAAAATTTAGTTCTTAAATATGTATGTAATATTTATTCCAAATTATACTATATGCTGTCTCTGTTGAAGTTACTGCATTACAGCAACTATCATCTTCATATGTGATCTCCTATTATGTAAGACTGCTGCTATTTAAACTCTGAAATTCAAACTAAATTACAGTCTTTCACCCTTAGGCACTCAGTTCAACTTGAAGTATTGAGCTGCCCCTCTAAGCAAAGAGATGAAGGTCAAACAAAGGACACTTCAGTAAAAGTACTTAGTAGTTTTTGCTCAGCTCTTGTATCTTTACTGAATAGGCTGACTGATAAGGCGAGAAGACAGGGGACACAGATAAGCCTGTCAACCCACAACATAAATTTCTGTTCGGTGTCACCTTCTGTAGATAAGGCAGAAACATTATTTTAGAATACACAGTAGACAAGCTGTGATTTACCACCCTGGAAATCACCATGAATGCAGCCTCATATACATCATCATCTAAACATACAGTTTTTTGTAACATACCTTTGTGCAATGGTTGAGGCATGGTTAAAATCTGGATAAGCAAAAGGGATGAGACATCTCTGTAAAGCACAGGAACTTCTGGCAGCTCTTCACTTATCAGCCTGAAAAGAAAACGCAAGGAAAATAACTTCTGATACTATAAACCCATTTTTCATTTTCATATTTTACTTTGCATTTTATTTTAAATAGTATTACATTTGAGATCAAGCTTACAGAAGCCAAATACCTGACAATTTGCTAACTGATCTCAATTTGAAAACCATTTATTGTTACTAATGGATTGTAATAACTCATGAGGAAGTTACCATTTCTGGGTACCTGATTCTTTTTAAAGTATTTTAAAATTTTCCCAAACTGCCTAAATTAGTTTTTTCTATGTATGGACTCAAGGAACATTCAGTATGTCACTTTTAGAACTTGTGTTCTAAGATAAGAAAATATACTGCATAGTAGCATAATAATCTAATTGGTTTACAAAGCCTAGCATTTCACAAGTATACATCTATCCATGCTGTAACAACGAATCCTCAGATTCCATTCATGTTACAGGGATTGCTCCTGTTGGAAAACACTGAAACCTTAGAAAAGGTATTGCTTTCCTTCATGTAAGGAAATGAAGACCCAAGCAGCCATCACAGGTGGGATTATGCAATCTTACACATACTCTTCATTAAAAACCCCATGTGGCTAGAAGGACAGCAAATAAAGAGATACTGCAAACTTTTAAACTATTTGGATTCACTGAATGATGTAAGATCCCCTTGTAGTCTTATGCTTAAAAGCAGGAAATATTTGCAGATAGGAGGTAGTATTTTTCTAGCTTGGTGTAGCAATATCCAACAATATTCCAATGAACAATATTCTATAGGTTCAAGAGCAGAGTCAAAATGGCAAAAAAAAAAAAAAAAAAAATTCTCCCCTCTTTATTGATTTCGGGCATGAGGGAGATCTCAAGCAGGAGTAGGGGGTACTATGCGACATGCATTCTCCATCACCACCTTTCCCCTGCTGCAGCACGCACAGAAGAAAGTGCTGTTTGGGTTCTTATTCCCATTCCCAAACAGTGGTGGTGCTAGCTGGTGGGCTGTTGAACGCTAGTGGAGTAACTGAGGAGGAGATGTTTGTCTGAGAGATATTTATCTGAACTACTACCATAGGAGCTATATAGGGAGGCCCTAGAATAACTGCCCCTGACTCTCCCATGGAAAAAAGAGTCCTCAACAGCTTCTTACAAATGGACGCAAATGTTGCACAGGAAAACATCACATGCTGCAGAGTTCCTTTCAACTGGTGTGTGATTGGGGTGTCCTGGAAGGGCATTTTCTTTCTATCGCACCTTAGGCTTTTTCATCTTTTTTTCCTCCTCTTTAGTCATTCTTCTCACTGGTCTTTGCCATGTGGCACTTCACCGGGGCCTCCATAAAAAACACCTTTGAAAGTCAGGAAATCAAAATATGTCCACCTGCTACAGTTTCAAGGTTATTTTCATGCTTTGTTCCAGCAATCTTAACTGTCCTGCAGGTAAACCACAACTGATGAAATGCTAGATAGTTGTACTGAAAACATACACAGATCCTTATTAAGATCTACCCGTAAAAGCACAGCCGCAGTCTCCTCCTTTTGGTTGTTCTGCAAGACACTGTGGACTGTAGAGTTTCTCAATGGGGCTTTCTTAAGCCCTGCAGCAAGTGCTCAAGTTTCTGTACAAAAAGAACCAGATTGAGGAAAGAAACATACAGAAAGGACATTCAAGCTCTTCTGTCTCGGCTCTGCCCTTTCAAAGCACAACTGGTGAACTATTGTAGGATCCAATTATCGCCTCTCTTCCAAGAGGACCACACTCTTCCTCTGATCCAGCTCAGCTGGCACTGGCTAATCCACTAGCATAATTCTCAAGTTTCTGTACAAAAAGAACCAGATTGCAAAAAGAAACATACAGAAAGGACATTCAAGCCCACTTCTGTCTCGGCTCTGCCCTTTCAAAGCACAACTGGTGAACTATTGTAGGATCCAATTATCGCCTCTCTTCCAAGAGGACCAAACTCTTCCTCTGATCCAGCTCAGCTGGCACTGGCTACTCCATTAGCATAGTTGATGCCCGTCTTTATGAAGGCACCAGCTCCCCTTGGTGCCATCTATCACACACACAGCAGACAAACTGAGCTCTTGCAGACCATGTACTGGAAAAGGCTGTCCACTTGCGGTAGGATGTGGATACACGCATAAGATCCTTAGTGCCTTCTAATATTCTGGGGATCCAACCAGCTTATCATCTCTGAGGCACATAAACATGATGCTGCTCTTGGAAGGAGACCTCTAGATAGTGGCTGATTTCATGAAAACTCAAAACTTCTCTCTACAAAAGGCACTACTAGCAGTCATCCATCATACAAATTTGTAACATGCAGCAGCAGTCATATAAGAGGAGGATTAAAAGAATACTTTTGGTCATATGAAGTGTATTATCCAACTATACATTTTTAACTACTCTCCTTCCCATCTCTCCCAGCTCAGTAAGGCACATTCCAAAGCAATAATTTTATTAAATGTCTGAAGTTTCCAGCCATTTTATGCAACATGAGATTGTGAGAATGAGCACAAATAGCTTGGTTGATTGGTCTTATAAAATGAAGTCACAGAAAACATGGTCTAACTGATCCTTTTGAATTAATGAACCCAAACAGCTATAAAATAAACACCAGCCATAACGCCCTTTGATATGATCAATCACTTCATAAAATTATTGTCTTAAAACACTGTAACATACAGAAATATACATCTATAATGTAAGCTTACATATGTAAGCCTCCCAAACAAAACCCAAATACTGTAAAAATGAGTATATTGAATTCTAAAGACAACAAAGATGGCAAAATATTTTATCACACTTCCAAGTCTCGTTTTCAAAATTATACAGGCAATGAAGATGCTAATCTCACCAAGTCTCTCTAACTCCACTTTTACCTATGGCTAGTTCTATTTTATCATCTCTGACACTGAGTTTTAAAATAACCCTCATTATGTAATTACTTTAAAACCATGGGCATCTCTTAATAATTAAAGGTGAGAAGTAATTTAACTAATATATAAATTTGGGGAAAAAATTAATTTGGAATAACATTAAGACAAAAAAATCCAACCAAACAACCACTCCCTCTGGTCACATTTAGTTGAACATCTCTTTCTGACTGGGGTATCATCATTTAACAGTTATGTAACAATTAGGGCAAATACCAGGTCTGACAAAATTAGGAAATATTCTTATATATACAGAACACCATGACTGATTGGCAACATCACAAATAAATGAACTTGTTTTCATATGCAGGACCAACTGAATTCTTTGTCTAATTTATTCATTCATTTCATAAGAATTGGAGAAGTAAAGCTACATTCAGTGTCAGGGTTTTAGATAAGCGGCTTCCATTTACGTCAAGCGCTGCAGCATAAGAAGCACTTGAAAACTGCTCTGTCATTTGTTAAGAGCCTAAGCAACTTCTTCATTATGACACTGAAACTGAATTTAGAAAATGTGTTTAGAAATGTGTTTTATGGAACTTGCCCATCCTGTTAATCCCCAGTGCATATGTGAAAGCTTGATAAATCTGACTACATAAAATTGTGCCACAGAAGCACTGAATGAAGGCAAGTACAATTTCAGATGAGACCAAAGTAATATAAAATGATTCAAATGTATTATAGGTGTATGCTGTATCCATCAAAAAAAAGGAGGGTGGGGAGGAGGTGGAAATAAACTGCACAGTGCAACATAAACATGTATCAAAATGAAGAATTAAATATTCATTGCTCGACTGACTTTATGGAACTGGCCCCTCCTCCAGTCCAAGGTAACTGGGCTGCACCTCTCTGTGCCAATACCAGAGCTGTCTATCAGCTGACAGCTGAGCAACTCTGCATCCGTGTTCCGCATCCTCCTCCTGACAGAGGTTATACGGGACTCACTTCTTCGGGAATGGGTACAGAGGAATAGAAAATTCTGTTCTACTTTGAAACAAGCAGCATTTGCTTATGTCCCTTCCTTACATATATGCTCCCCTTCTCCTCTTCTCTCAGCTAGAGACACTTTTGTTTGATTCTAACTCCAACTGCTTATAAAGTTAGAAAGTCAATAAATAAAGTGGCAGTTTTGAGCCTCACACTTCTTCAAACTGTCAGATACAGAAAACGTGAGACGCAGGGATATGGATACAGCTAAACAAAGCCTTAATCAACTAGGGCAAATTGATATTCTCTTCAGTATTTGCAGGATGAGAAATACAGCCCACAAATCCCAGCCTGCAGAAAGGTCAGAGTAATACACAGTTTCTAATGTTCATGATAAGAATGGAGAATGCTACTATTTATTTTGGCTACATTCTAGCATATAATCACAATTTCATATTTGCTCTTCATTGTGTCACAGCAGATTTTACAGCAGGTCAGTTTTTCTCATTATACAACACAGGATTTTACCGACAGTACTAACATTAGGCATCTTCTGTTCTCTCTTTCACCATCAGCCCCCAGTCTTGTCACCTGCTCCCTAACTTATTCAAATTAACCTTTTTGAAAACATGGATTAATTCCTTGACTTTGTTTCTGATGCAGCCTGCTCAAGTTACATCAGCACAGCTGAAGAAGATGGTGAGCTACAGTACAGGGGAAGGAAGAAACAGCCAAAAGCAAGTACTCCTGAAGCTGGTGCTGCTGTCAAAACCTCCGTATCATAACTTATGTCCTGAGACATTGGTGTTTCAGGAAGGATTTGTGTGTTTATTGAATAGATCACATAAGTCCTGTCGCAGCAGGTATACCACCTCTTACACAAACCTTAACTAAACTCTGCTGTCCCATCATCCTACTCTTTGCCTTGGACCATCTTCATAAAAACTGTTTTATTTTTCTCATTTCACAAGTTTCTGTGATGGAGATGTGACTTAAGAGGTTCCCACACACGGTTGCTCATTCCCATCCCTATGCTGCAGTTTGTTGCCCCAGTATGACACTATAAACAATCACCCAAGCAACCTAATTTGGAACAAAACAACAGCAAAACGCTTTAGTAAAAATAACCCAGTATGTTTCAGCATTTCACTTTATCATGCAGTTTCTCCCTGCAAGTGCTTCTACTGCAAAGATCCTTAATGCTTTACCGAATTATTTTTTGCCACACACTTTGTCTGTCAAAACAGACAAAAATTTCAGCCTTCGTAGAGATGTAAATTTAAAGAAATGTACAGACTTTTATTTCAGGTTTGCCATTCCTGAAACTCTGGCTGTTTGGACTAGTCCATTAAATTCACATCTGGGTTTAGTAATTATTGCCTCCAGCTGCTCCTTCTCTGCCCCCTGCCAGCAGCTACTATTCCCCACTTACACCACAGTAATTGTTTATTTGATCACGCTTGAAACCAGATCTGCCCCTAGTAGAACAATTTGCTGAAGCACAGCCTGTGGGACCCAGTATATATTAAATGTGACAACATGAACTGCATAGGAGAAAGAAGCCACTATACCACTCACAGTTCATCAGACTTAGTTTTATCTTTTTTCCCTTCCTCTTCCTTCAAACAGTTCACATTATTTAGGCCCTTTTTGATAGGGTATCCTCTTGCTCAAAATCTCCTTGTTTCTACTTTACCTTGGTGTGACTGCATGAGCTCCTTCCTATCTTTCCTCTCAGCTGCCATTTTCAACTACGGAGCGACCTAGGTACAGTTGTTGAAGATGACACCAGGCAAAACCAGGGGCTTTGGGAAGTATAGTAGAGCAATTCTGTGAGAGTCTTTACAAATTACTTTGATCAGTTCTCCCAGACACATGAAATCTAAGGTATGATTTATGAATAATGATAGCTGGGTTGTGGAAAACCAAGCTAAAAATTGAGAGCTCTATACCTGGGTAGTTTTAATTGTAAATAATAACTTATTTAAATCAAGTAGCCACAATTAAATAAGGGTGAAAATAATGCAATGGCACTTGTATCCCATACATTATTTACTTTTTTAGTTTTGAAAATTATCTTTTTTAACAAATAAAGATGCAACTAACTTCTCTGGAAAATTGCTTTCAACTGAAATAATGATTTAAAATAAAAATTAAATAGAAAAATATAGCATGTTGGTTTAAAGTTATTTTTCTCCTGTGACTTTCCTGATGTTAAATTGTTTGGAATCCCAGTAATATAGTCAGATAATATAGATCTTTTCCTCTCATTGACTTTTTTTTTTTCCTAACAAGTCTTTACTTAAAGTCTCGTGTACTGGTCAGGCTGATGATTCAGTTAGCTTCAAAATGGCAGAGTGCTATCCACCTCTTAAATCTGCAGTGGTATTTCTCCACCACCCTCTTAATCTTCTTCAGTTTACAGCAGCATATCACCTTCTAATTGCTCTGAGCACTCTTTACTGTACCTGAAAAAATCTGCTATTCTGGATTTCTCAAAAGACTGTGTGACTCTAAGAAGTGTGCAATTAGATCATACACAGCAATCATATGAATGCCATCTTCAAGTGAAACTACTACTTCAAATTTCTAAAATATAGTCACAAATATCCATATTATGCTCTGATTTATACATTAAAAACATGTCCCCAGGTTGCCTCCTCTGCAGCTTTCTGGGGTCTGCAGACTAAGGTAGGAAAACCACTCCAAGGAGCGAGCAAAAAAATTCCAGCTTGATTGCATCTGTGCATGTCAACAGTAAACTATTTCATGGCAAAACGGATGATCTCTTGGTTATAGCTTCCTAAACCACTTAGAACACAGTGCCAAACCAACATCAGCAAGTCTACCAAGAAATCTTAAAAACCAGTGCAGAAAACAAGAGAACTCCTCAAATGCATTCCCAACATGCAACATCTGCAGAGCAAGCCATTATGGTCCACCACACCATTCATTTCACAGTGGTTCAATATACTGCCTAATGAAATCTAACTTGCAGCCATCTAACGTTGATATGACCAACGCATGCTGAATTCCATCAAGTCTCTAAGAGTGAAAAAAAGTTGCACATGCAGAAAAAACAGCTCCTCTGTTAACTGCTGCTTCTAAAGCCAGCAAGCTCTTCAAATACCAAAATGAGAAGTGCATGATCAGTCCCACAGCCAGTCTGACTGTCAGCGGCCTATCAACATGATCTTAATTTTGCCTGGTATAACTTGAGTCAACCATAAACCAAATTTATTAACCTTGTTCCACTGCTCAGTCTAGATGAGAGCAGAATCACACGAAAACATACTCTCAAAGCTATTTGAATGCATGCTGAGTAACAAGTTTTCAAGTTACAATATTTTTGATGCTTTGTTCTGCTAATGGTTTATAAACTAATCTGTTAATCTAGTCTAATTACTGTAATAATCTAATGTTGATTGCAAAAAAAGACCTGGGTCCAAAAGGACAAACAGTAAAATCTCAAACTATAGATGCAAGCACAAATTTTTCCTAATTTGCAGGTTAGGATTGTGGCATCACTATCCTAGATGAATTTTTTCAATCTGATGATGATTTCTCCCCCAGGCTCCTAGAACACACTGACAAATACACAGCTGGGTACATACTAAAAAGACAAGTCTTCATTACTGCAAGCTACAAAGTGGAGACTTTAGCTATGAAGAAGATGCTCAGTGTCCCAAGAGAAAAAAAAAAAATACTGTTTTCCTCTTATGAGGAAAAATAATCATCTGGTTTTAGGCAAGAAACCTTTCTTCTCACAGTCAAGGTAGAATCTGAAAAGTGAAGGGTCTTAAGTCAAGTAGGAAGACGAGTCCTTGTGGAACACAGCTACACGGCTCCATTTTTTATATTGTTAATCCTTGTACAGCTGTATATGTAAGGTTGGTATTTTACAAGCAACTTCAGGTAAATAACTTGCTTAAAATAACAAGCATGATGAAAACTTTTACCTTCCAATAAAATCATTCCTCACATATATTAGGCCTACTTGTGTTATTTCTGTAACAGCTATTAGTCATTGCCCAACTTTCAATAAACTATTTATGAACTTAATCTCAATGTAAATTTTGTCTAGCATCTGTACCAAGAACAGCAGTGCACCTATCCACTTACCCAGCATTAAATTTGCGTGTGCTTAAGCTTGCAAGTGGCGTATTTAAGCTTTAACTCAAAACTGGAATGTGTACGCAAAGATTTTATGTAAAAGAAATTTGAAAATGTGTTTTTACAAATATATACATACAATGTTTAGATGTTAAATTCATCAGCCTACCTCACTGAGAATTTAAATTAAGACAGAAAGTTACCCAAAGTCCCTCTGTAAGGATGTTTCTTTCACAAGGTAAAACTGATATTTGGTAAATTAAAATACTTGCTCTGAATTTTTATCCTGCATCGGCTGGGTTAGTTTTCTCCAGGGATTGTATGCAGAGTCTATACTGTAGAGGCGCATGTGCATGGCCAACACATGGAACAGCTGATCTGAAAGATGAAGAAGATAGGTTGCTGATTATTATGTACAATTATATGAAGTATTTTACATTAAGTTGCCATCATTTATTTTACAAGATTCTGTAAAGTCTGTAATCTCATTCCAAATAAGCTGGTATCCTAACATGCATCTTTTTTTTTTTTTAAAGGTTTTGAAGAGAAGTAAGATTTCAATAGAAGGCAGTGAACATATGCGTGTATACGAAAAAAACAGGTTTTTTTCTCCTCTCCTGAAATTCTGAAACAGAGAAAGGCTGTTTAGAAAGCTTTGACCAGATCTCAGTTGTTTTAGTGCTCGTAAAACACCAGCTCCATATACTTAATTATAGTCTTCGTAAAAATCCTGTTTCATGTGCTCTTATGTTGCTAAGGTTCCATGCTCCCTTCACTTCCCTCTCCAGTTTATGCTAGAAGCCGTTATTTCCTAAACATCTCTTCTAAACGGGGACTGATATACTTTTAATACACAGCTCGCTCTCACAGTTAAGTTCTGTGCAAAACATACTTGAAATTACCCTAAAGTTGCTAAAAGTTCTGGCCTATAGCAAGCCCATTCAGCTTTTCATCCTTAAAGGGTTATTATTCCTTCTGCCTTCATAAGGTTATTTTGTAGGTAACTTTTGGCAGACAAAAACCCGCAAACTTCTGACCACACCACAGCGACACTAAAGTAGCAACGGTCTTTATAATTGCAAAGATTGTATACAGCCTGCAGGCAAAGTTTGCTAATATTCATCAATTCAAAACCTCCTGTACATCCACTGTGTCAAAAATATAATTTGCAAAACACTTCTAGAACCTTTTGAACAAAGGATGCTTCGTTTATTATTATTAAAGCACATTACTGCAGTATCATATAGTAAAATGCAGTTTTCATTTCTCTATGAATCATATGATCAACACAAATAAAGGTAACATCGAATCCTTTCTCCACTTAAGTGAGCTAAGGCAGCAGGCACCATCTATGTTGACAGCCTTTTCACAGAGGTACGTACAATAAGAATCTCAGACTTCACTTCTTTTTCTGTGTTTATAACACAGTTACAGTTTGCAGAAAAAGCATCTTTTTTAATCTTCACAGGTTTATATTAAAATCATATTTTAAAACACTATTCCCACAGTTTTGCTCCCATTTTTCCTCCCATCACACTATATCTTGCTATTTGCTGCTGTGTTTGCTTCCCCTGTTCAATTTTCTGGGATCCTGCTTCCTTCCTCCCTTTCATTTTAACATCTTCCCTTAGTATCTTGCCATCTTCTTTCCCCCAACCCTCTTTTATTATTTCAATTGATCCCTTTGCCTCCTATTCTCTTAATCTCTCTCCCTTCTCTCTGAAACCCACTTGCTCAACCTACACACTCACTCACAGGTCCTCTTTTTTAAGGAGAAATAGCAGCTATTAATTTATTTTCCATAAATAGACAATTACTCAGTGGTACGCAATGGCCAAAAAAGTCGCATGATGAAGTCAGATGACTGCCAGAGCCTGAGGGCTGTAATTAGCTCCTGGGGTTTGTAAAATAATTGGAGATGTACATGGCATTGCAATTGATTCCTGTCACCTGCTTTCTGAATAAAAACAGTCAATGAGGACAAAATAAATCATCTTTTCTCCTGGTAAGAGATTCTAGCAAAACGTGGCTTTGGTGACAAACTTCAAAACCGTGAAAATACTCTGATATTTCATCAAAATAATAAAAAAATCCCTCCAGTATGGTTTTATTTGTAATGAAACTCATGAAAGTATCAGTTCCTTCCCTCTTGCCTCTCCGCTACTAAGAGGAATGTAATTTTTTTCTGAACTGCTCCTTGCCTCAAACAGAAATGGGCAACTATGTGCAGAAAAAAAAAAGCTTAGCATAATTAATTAACCCTCTGTTCCTTTACTAGCTATTTTCCTGAGCTTTTACTGATATGAAATTAAGCAGGCAAGCACCAAACTCTAGTACTGAAGAATTTACTTACTTACATCTCCAAGTGCGTAACATTTATAGAATCGAGATACATTTTAACATCGACTGAATCTGAACAAAAAATTCAGTTAAGCAGTCTTGTAAGAAAATATTTTTTTTGTGCTTAAGGCAGCTATTGCTCCTTTGCAAGAAAACGTGTCTAGCACGTAAATGTAAAGCTTGGAAGTAGGTAATCAGGTATGGTTACAATGACCTTTTATGAAATAGTTTTTATGAAGGGGCTTAAAAATATTACGATACTCTCTAAGCCAGTGCAGCACAGCCATGCTTGTTTCCAGAGCCGGGGTAACCAAGGAATAACATTGCCCCCTAACGGGAACACTGCCACCGAAACGGCCTGACGGCTCCCACCTTCCAAGTTTGTCAAATTGAGTTCTGATTTGTCTATAGCTTCTCTATTCATATTTCTGATAAGATTTCTAACAATTAGCAAAAACTAAAGGCTGGCCAGAGGAAGATACAAAGGTTTACTTCTTGACAAACATTTTTCTGTTTTACACCACAGTGACTCCAACTGCTTTACCTCACATCTACTATAACTATGGAATATTGGAGAAAGCCAAGGAGAACACCAGAGCACTGAAAATCTAGAACTAGCAACTTCTTCGTGCACAAAGTGCTTGGTATTTCACCACATTCTTATGCTTGAGGGACTGGCAGAAATCTGCCTTGGGCCAAATGAATACCAGAGTTTTTACCCCTGTGTATTCCTGTGAATGCATCATTCTGAAATGTAAACATAAAAATACAGCGTATCTTCCCATTTTCTTATACCCTACTTAGAACCATTAAAATGCACCTTTTTTTAAGACAAGTAGCAGCAAAACATTAACATGACAATGGCACATAAACGACAACCTTGCCTAGTCTTGCGAAGAAGGGAAAGGAAGGCCATAACCCACCAGGCATCCCAAACCCCTCCACCGCTCACAGGGCATCTTATGGCCAACTGTCTCCATGTCAGCCCACCTTTGCATGTGGGAAAGACAGGATCTGGGTGTAGCTCAGAGCCTCCAAAATAACATTCTTAACAAAATTTGGTCGAAGAATATTAATTTTAGAAAGCACAGCAGCAACAAAATTAGAGATTGATAACTACACATGAAATCACAATGAAACTAGAATTACAAGTTTACTGATAACAAATCATGAGGAGTAAACAGTGAAAAGAATTTGAATATGGTCCTCCTCTCCTAATAACTTTGTAATATTTGAGACAGGCTGCATCCAGCTAAACTGAATAAATATAAAAATCACAAAATTTGCACAATATAACTTATTGCTGCAGTCATCAGGGGCTTGGCAGGATTCTGAGATTTAGACATTTAAGTGGGTGAGATTATTACTGGCTTTAAAACATGTTCATGTGACTCAAATATTACCTACATTGCAGTAGCGCATCTCAATTCTCCCAACTTATTAGATGGCCTTTGTTTTCACCGAATACATGTAAAGCTTATATAAAACACTTAATAGAATCACCGAGATTAGCAGTTAGACATTAGCTTTAACTTGATTCATATTAGTCTTCCTAATCCTATTTCTAAAAATTACAAAAATAAATCTATTGTTCCGTACACTGCTGCTCTTGGTACATTCTTGTCAACTCTTCTTATACTAGCTCTATTTCTCAGGGTTAACCTGTTATGAGAGAGGAGCAGTAAACTCAGTTGGAATTAGTACTTTCAAAAGAGCATCTCAAAGGATAAGACCCTGTCTTTGCACTGGGACCGAAGCTATTAGAGGAACTGTTCTAAGCTGCTCCTCTCATAAAAAACAAAGATAATGGGTATTTTGTCTACATATCCATGCTGCCTGCACTAGCACCTTACCAGACTAGAGACATTACGCCCTTCTCCCAAAGTTTCCTGGGACTATCAAGAACACAGATTATAAAACACTTGATACAACCAGATGGGACTTGACTGTTAATAAGGAGATTGAGGATTTTTTTTTTTCTTCTTGTAGAGGCTTATATAGTCCACTTAGCAACAGCAGCTGCAAAGACCGGCTGACAGCATCTTCCCACTCATCACTGATCCTGTAGATTGGAATCAGTGAAGAAAAAAAAAAAAGTGAAGGTCAGGAAAAGCCTATTAAGGCATTAAGACGTGAATAGTCTTTACAAAATCTTAAGCCTTAATTGCTGATGAAGCAGCTAATTATCTTCGACACAAAACTTGCCGCTGTAGGAAATCAACTTTAGCAACAGAATTCTAACTATATCTATCTTTGCCTCTCCCAAGCTAGATATGAATGGCATACCCAGCTTTTTAGGAAATAGGATCATCTGTTGTTGAGAAAAACTGCTTTTTCAAAGTTAGCATGAATGGATGGGCACCAAAGATCTGCAGATTGCCAGCTCCTAACTAAAAAACAAAACAAAACCCCATAAAACCAAACCAAAAAGCCCAAACCAAATCAACCAACCACAGAAATCCACTGTACCAAGGCAAAAAGCATTCCTGAAAACTACTTGTATTCTTTTTATTTCCAGTGGCTGCAGAGAGCTGGGTAGCAATCTTTGCAACCATAGTCACATTATTAGATTACAGGAAGGAGAGCTGCAACTGAGTAACTCATAAAGGAATTAGGTTTTTCTTCCTACAGGAATGAACCATACTTAGTGGTTCCAAGTATCACTGGCCACATTGATAAAATGGAGACAGCCTTTACTATCAACATGGTTGAAAAATTTGATACAGAGGAGTATGAAGAGCTTAGAAAATTCTTCATGTCAAGATGACTTTCTGTGCTCACAAGAACACTAAAAGCACTGATTAAATTGAAACTAACAACATAATCAAGGCAGATGACACTGCTGAGCCATCTACAGATGCAAAACACAGGCTTCAAATGAAAAAGAAGAGAAAACAAACAAACAAAAAAACCCAATGGAACAATACGGTTTCTCAATGGTTAGAACCATCATAGAAATTATGAAGGTGCTGCACACTTTATTTAGGGCAAGCTTACACAAGTCTTAAATACTTTTTTTATGTCCACTTGTAAATTAA